ATTTCAATTATATTGATAAGATATTTCCATTTTTTTTATATCAAATGATGTGAATACCCCAAACGCTAGTAGCCCTATGTAAATCAATATTAATACCGGTAATTTTACATATCAACAATCTTTTAATTAGTAATTCAATTATGCTGTACAATAAAATGATCGAATCTTATCTTTCAACGGATATGAATGTTTCTACTTCGTAAACTGAAATTTCCCTATTTTCCCTGATTAAATAAAATTAATTTTTTAAATTTAATATAAAATGACGCCCCTGATAGGGCCAATTTATTAGTTAACTTTCGTTTGCTTAATCGACATGTTTAAATTAGTAATTTTGGTGTCCGCAGTGACATGTGCTCTTGCCGCAATTATTCCGGAAGGCCTTTCACCACAGATTGACGGTCGTATAGTTGGTGGCAATGAAGGCAATATCAATCAATATCCTTACCTAGTGTCAGTACAACGAAATGGTGCACATATTTGTGGAGGTTCCATTTATAGTAATAAAATTATTGTGACCGCGGCTCATTGCTTGCAAAAAGTTTCGACAAATGAATTAAGAGTAAGAGCTGGCTCTTCGACATGGAATTCTGGTGGTATATTATATTATGTTTATTCATATCGTAATCATGAAGACTATAATCCCACTACAATGGAGAATGATGTCGCAGTTATACGGTTATCAACTACTTTGAGTTTTAGTACTACAATAGCAAAAATTGACTTAACGTATTATGGTCCTTTAAATGGAGCTACCGGTACTGTTATTGGTTGGGGCACAACGTCGTTTAATGGTTTTATTTCTGATCATCTACGATACACAGCGGTTACTATAATAAGTCCATCGCAGTGTGGTTCTAGTGCTTACAGATATGGTTCAACTATAAAATCAAACATGTTTTGTGCATCTGCCGAAGGTAAGGATGCTTGCCAAAAGGATTCTGGTGGCCCTTTAATTTATAACAACCTTTTGCTTGGTATTGTTTCTTGGGGCTACGGATGCGCTTATTCCGGTTATCCTGGTGTATATACTGATGTGGCACAGATGCGTAGTTGGATTGTGAATAATGCTATTACTGTATAATTGTTGATTTTTGGAAGTGCTTAATTGAGCGATTAATGTTAATTGATATTATAACATAGGTGCAATATAAATACAGTATTATTAAATATTAAATATTTTATATTAAGGATTAATAAATAAAAACGAAGCATATAAACATTAAAATTATTTCTTTTATAATTAATATTCTGAGTAATAAAAGAAATGAATACAAAGAATTATAATACATAGTAATTTATTGGAACTGTATTATAAGACGGACTTTTATAGATTTGTTTGGGTTAGGTTTGGAACTGTATAATAAAACGGATTTTTATAGATTCATTTGGGTTAGATCTGTTGGTCCCTAGTGATACCAAATAGAGTTAAAGTTTTGGTTGATTTTGTAGAGAAGCCCTTTTATCTACTAGACTTATTTTGAATAGAATTTTTCAAGTTCACCAAAGTAGACTTTTAAGCCCAGACTCTATGTGCCTTAGTTCTAGTTTATACGTATCGTACCAATTTGCGATTATCGTATCATGCGATTATCGTAAATATGCGATTATACCTTATCAAAAGTATATTTACCCTGAGATGTCAAGTTATAAGCTTATTATCACTGTTAACTATTGAAACAAATCTATCTTAAATATTAAGTTGAGATCGTCTTCTGTTTCTATACCTTTAAATAAATTTTTTTAAACTGTGAAAGTCGAATGAATTTTGATATAATTCTTAAAATATTAAAAATTAATAATCTATAAAAAAAATCTATTCTTTTAGATAATCACCACAATTAAATTTAAAAAAAAACTTTAATTTGATACGTATACGCTCATAAATTTCTAATCATATTTTGGTAGACCCCGGTTTTAAACGTCATTTCTGTTATCTAACATTCGAAGGCTTTCTATGGTAATCACTTATAATCAAAAATACTAACTTATTTATCAAATGGGAAATGAGATTTATTTTATACATTTTAAAATCAATCAAAATTCATTGATAATAAAGTGTTTCTATAGTATTTTTAAATACTTTATAATAAAAAATGTTTATTATTTTTTGTTTACATAGATAGATAATTTTGAAATAGATGGAATATTTGATTTTTAATTCATATAATGATTATAATTATATATTCTTGTATTTTGGTTTGTTTACTTATTTTTCTTTCAGGTTTTCTTTTTTATTTATTATGATTAATACGATTCATAGGTGCTAGATTGAAAACGTTGAGTAAGTAATGATCCTATAAACAATTCCCGTATATAGTATCCTGTATATGGTATATATATATAGTATGCTATTGTATACTATACTATACAATAGTATAGTAGTGTAGTATATTTTACTATACTACAAAATATCTTCTAAGTTCAATATCTTACTATGATAGTTATATATACTTCAATTGAATTGATAAGATATTCAATAGTGATGAATAGTTCTGTTTAAAATCATGTTTAAAATATTTTTCAACTTCTTATAGTCCTTTGCTATCAACAGAGAGTGATAATGTATTAATGTATATTATTCATTACAGGGGACATTGATCGATCTGCCGTTGTATTTTTTCAATTAAAACGTTTAGCTAATCTATCCATCGAGTAGAGGAACTTTATACTTCTGCTTATGTTACATTTTATGACCAATAGTTCCTGACTTCCTGATAGCGTCGTCACGTAATTAAATTAAGTCGAGTATGCATTGAAGATTGTTTTTATAAAACTGGTTTTTATGTTAAGTTCCTTAAATGAAAAATAAATAAATGTTGGGTTTGTAAGCAGTTTATAGAATTTTTATTGGTGCTTGATATATTCGCTATTTAATGACTTCGATCTTTTAATTGCCATAAAATATATTTAATATAAAATACGTGAAATTAACTATAAGAAATATTATAGTATAGTAAACGTTGATATTGATTTTAACAATTATTTTTTGCGATCAGTGCAGAGCTGTCCAGATCAGTACGGTCCAAGGAGAGTTATTTATATTCTTTGTAATAGTTTCAGTGTAAAGGATTTATTTAGTTTTAATATTATGGTCACGTTTCTAAACTCAAAAATCTGTTAAATCTTTAACATTGTCAATAGAAAATATTTATATTTTAACGCTCGGAAATTTTATTAAAACACATAAATTAAGGAGGCTTCGATAAATTTCTTACAATAAATAATGTATACTTTCAGGCGTGTTTAAGTTTATTCTGTTGGAATGTTAATTAATGGTTTTTACTTTTAAGACATTAATTTTGATACATCAAAATTTAAAATTTTGGGATTTCGAGAATTCAACTTCTTTACTACTCTGAAGTTCTATAGAGTAGTTAAGAAATGCAAACTTCTTTTGGTTCGATGAAAATCATATATGAAGATGACGGATTAAGTTACTAAGAATGGAAGCAAAGTAAATAGGCACATGTCTAGAGGTGCTTTTCACTGAATCTACAATTATCTGATCAGATAAGGATTCAGTGATTGTCAACCGCTGCGCTGTGGAACAGCAGTGCGCCTATCCATAAAAGTTACATTTCGATTCAAAAAGTTAACCTCGATTTACCAATTGAAAACATCCAAAATCAGTGGCATCTGAACTAACATCTGAAAGATTGTGGGAAAGATTTTGGTTGGAAATGCTAAATTAAAATTGCATCCATGAATAACAGCACAACTTTATAGATATTTAGGTTTTGATTAAGTAGTGATTTAGGTCTATATATTTTCATTTATTTTATATAAAGACTACAATATTGAAAGCCAAAGAAAGGAAATGGACTTCATGTATAATATCTTAGTTAAATACTACTTGTACTTAAAATATATGTATATATGTTATACTATAAATAAAAATAATGTAGAAATTATGACAAGGAATTCAGTTTTATTGGTTAGAATTGGACAACTATCGGTGGCAGTTCGAACTACGAGAGTCTTGAATCGCTTAGGTCTTATAGCGTAGACTTTTTGTAACTCTTAGATAAATTAATTAGATTTCGCATAATTCCCAGTGTCCGTTGAAATATTTATTTGTTAGATAACATGAAATTCTAAAAATTTTTACTGTCATTATATTTGATCTATTAAGCACATAAGCTTGACACACGCTTCCTCAACTCCAACGATATCTACGGGAACATAAAAATTTAAGTACTAAATTCTATTATTTGTAGCACTGCATTTAAGTATTTTTTTTTGTTATTAATTTTATTAATATTAATGAATTGGTGTTGGGCCCTATCTTTGAAAGGAAATACCCACTTTTAGAGTTTTGACCGGTTTGCAGGTGTGATAAACTTTATCTATTCAATTCAATTTTAAAAGCAAAAAGGAAACTAATCGGCATTATGTACAATACTTGCACGCTACGATGTAATAAAATTAAGCTTTAGAAGCACTTTTTTGAATTTTCAACTTATAATAATTATATATGAAATTTTTTTTAAGATAAAATATTTAAAATGATTTATGTATTATTATTTATATATTTATTTAATGTTATTCTGCTAATAATTTTATTTATAGTGTAAAATTAACTAGGTATAAATATTAAAGTATTAATATTACAGGTAGGATTCCATCAAAAACAATTTATACATACAAGTATATATATATAATGCACAAGTATATAATGTATATATAATATATATGTAATAAGTCCATATATATTCAAAATTCTGATAATATATATATAATTAATTATTACTTTATGTCTTAAATACCCAACAATATTATATTTATAGTATACATGTACATATCTACAATTGCAAATAATTTCAGAAATCAATCAGTACAAATTTCACTTTATCATATCTTATGGAATATTCAATTCATTCAAAACTCCATGTATTAAATTTAAGACGTTTGATAAGACACAATTATTTATTTACTAACACTTTCCAAAGATCTAAATCTATGAATTAAATTTTTGCAATTTTTTTAGTATATTTTTTTTTTGTATTTACCTAACCATAAATAAAGAAGTAAAGAAATGGACATTAATTGTTTGACGGCCGTCAGTTCAGATAAGTTAAGCATAACGTCTATAGAATATAAAACTGATAAAGTAAATACGTAAATCAGTGTTATTACAATATACATAAATATTTATTATTTTATTTTGTTTTGTTTTAAAAATGCGACAAAAAGTCTCACAATTGTATGATGGATGTTAGATTTTTACTACCGATCTTTTTCTACCAATAATTTTTATTTCATTTACAAGTTTTTATACCCTTATAACTTATAAAATGAGTAGATTAAATTTGCATAGGTGTTTGTAACACTATGAAGAATAGATCACAAACCATACGAATAAGAATTTTTATGAGTGATGAAGCCAGCGAAACCCACTGATCCAACGATGCTTACTGTAAATAAAATTTATCAAATAAATTATGTACCTATATAGCACGAACGTTCTGATTGATCTATGTGTGTGTGCTGACATTAAAAATCGCAATGTCTGAATTTAAATCCCAAAGTCTGGGTAAAAAAACATGCTTTAAAAACTGTTGAAAAATTTCTAGCTTGTTCTAATTCAGAAATGGAGTTTGAGATCCCAAAGTCTGGTCAGAAAACATGCTTTCAAAAATGGAAAAATAAAATTCTAGCTTATGCCTCAGAAATTGAGTTTCAAGTCCTTTTTAAATTCGCAAAAAAAAAATGTTGAACATCCTATATGACGTCTACAAAGAACTTCAGCTCCATATGGTATCGCTAAGGAACAATAGAGAAACTTACGACATTAACCGACCGTAACTTATATAGTATGTTCATTAGGGTGGCCGTAATATGTATGGGGGCAAAAAAATGTGTTCGAATTCTAGATGCCACCCCCTAAATTTATTCGAATACTCTAAAAACTACTAAATGTAAAGTTTTAGACTAATCGGATAATGTATAGAGGTCGCTCATCGACCTTAAACTTCGGAAAAATGCCACTTTTCACTTTTTTCAAATTTCTTCGCTCCCATCTCGCGTATTTTTCACCTTTGACTATTTGTACCAAATTAATATTATTCTTTAACATATTAGCTTTCAAATAAGGTAAAAATCAATCAATTTCGTCCACAATTAATTAAATTATTACTAAAATAAGAAATCATAGTCGACGTTTATTCAAGCTTTCAAGAGCAGCATAAATATGGGAGTAAATACGAGTACGTATGAGCGAAAGTACAGTTTCTTGGACACAAAATGGTACAATATAATATTTGAAGACAATCAAATACTTCCTCACTATATATAATTGTCCACACTTGATTTGAATAATATGCATAAAATAGATTAATAAATATAATAAAAGGAAAGGAGTCCTTAAGTAAACAAAAGAAATTCTCTTAGGTGTTAAGGATGAAATAACAACTTTTTGTTACAAAGAACTACAAAAATTAATTTGCAGAGATGACTATAAAGAACTATTGGAACTAGTTATCATCTCTTTGGGCGAAAGTTTATCACCAATATTCCGTGACCCTGGACCAATGCACCATGCTCGTTGGATGTCCAATCCTCTTTACTGTTTAAAGATATATTTATTGCGAAATGAGTTCTCATTGTTATCTTTCGAAGAGCAAAAGCTAAAAGAAATCTGTTTGTTCATAATACATGTTTACGTAAAATATTGGTTCAAATGTGTTATAGCATCAGAAGCAGCTTACCAAGATTTTTGTTTTATAAAAGAAATGTAAAATTATAGATGTATTGATAAGACAATATCTGAGACTCATATTAAGAAGATGTGTAACCATTTATGGTATTTATCCGATGAATGCATTGGTCTATCATTTTTCATGACAACATTCCAATTAAAATTAAAAAAAGAATGGCAGATAAGTTAAAAAAAATTATATCAATGAATGTTGAAGTAGATAGTGATGATAACAATGAAAGCCACGACAATGTGGACGATATTAAAAAAGACGACGAAATCCGTCTTTTGAAGACGGAGAATGTAACCAATTTTTTATCGAAATCACTAGAGGATTTTGTGACAGCCAATACCATTAACTCTTTTAAGCGATTCAATATATCTACAGATTTCTTGAACCTAGAACCAGAAAAATGAAACCAACATACAGATTATGTACACGCGTTAAAAATTGTTCACAGTATAAGACCTGTTAATGATACGGCAGAGCGAGGAGTAAAACTTTTCGAAGAATTTAATAGAGTCCTTGGTAAAAATGAGCAAGATAAACAATATTTATTGCAAGTAATAACAGATTATAGAAAGACTTTTAAAATGTATACTAAAATAATTCTGTCAAATAATAAATAAATTTAATATTTTTTTAAATAAATTACTTAAGGACTCCTTTCCTTTTATTATATTTATTAATCTATTTTATGCATATTATTCAAATCAAGTGTGGACAATTATATATAGTGAGGAAGTATTTGATTCTCTTCAAATATTATATTGTACCATTTTGTGTCCAAGAAACTGTACTTTCGCTCATACGTACTCATATTTACTCCCATATTTATGCTGCTCTTGAAAGCTTGAATAAACGTCGACTATGATTTCTTATTTTAGTAATAATTTAATTAATTGTGGACGAAATTGATTGATTTTTACCTTATATGAAAGCTAATATGTTAAAGAATAATATTAATTTGGTACAAATAGTCAAAGGTGAAAAATACGCGAGATGGGAGCGAAGAAATTTGAAAAAAGTGAAAAGTGGCATTTTTCCGAAGTTTAAGGTCGATGAGCGACCTCTAAACATTATCCGATTAGTCTAAAACTTTACATTTAGTAGTTTTTTGAGTATTCGAATAAATTTAGGGGGTGGCATCTAGAATTTGAACACATTCGTAAATAACGGCCACCCTAATGTTCATATATTGTTTATATATAAAAAAACTTAAAAGAACTACAGAATTGTGTATTAATATAAATATTTTTGTTATAAATGAAGTCTCTTCCTTCTCTGGTGAAATTTTTTATTGTTGTTGAAATTAATAAGAATTAAAACGAGATTAATAAGTAAATAGGTAGATGCTAGTAAGTATACTCGTTTTATAAAAAAATAATAATTTTATATATATTTTTTCTATAATTGGTATTGTAATTATCTATATTATATGTATTATGATATTATTATTATAAAAACAGTTCATATCTTTGTTTTTCCCTATCATGTATTTTATAATTATCTATATACCTATATTTTAATATTATTATTGAAATAATTTTATTACAGGAATTGAAAGTCATCTATTTATGCTTATTCAATTACCCCCAAAAAAATAGGATTCAAATAATAATTTGTTGTTAATAGACTTGTTTCTTGTATTGTTCGGGACATTTGTTTAGAAAAGAAAATGTGAAATTCTGCAGTGTTAGGTAGGTAGAAAAGTAAGTGAAGAGTATATAGTGTATGGGGATGCTCTTCCTTCTTAATTAGTTAAGAAATCCGTTTTAATTTAGCAGGATAGAATATTAGAATTAGCTGGACTTGTTGATAAATACAAATAGCTGGCCAACACTAATGTTGGAAATATCGCCGAGTGTATTAAAGAATTGGGCACCCAAAAGTTTAAGCATGATTCTGTACAAACATGGACATGGACACAGCATATGCTTCGGTATCTCCTTTTCGAGCGTTGGTAGATATGCACGGATGGATGGCATGAAGTCAGATCGAGCCTGACTTCATGCCATCCTATAGTCCAGTGTCCCGTTACGACACATATTATTTCAGATACTTCCGATTTACTTATATGTATTAAGTAGGAGGTTGTACATTTGAAGTATAAGAGTCATGATGATATATTAACTTGCTACGCTATTTGTAACTTTTTTTTATTTTCTCTTACGTTTATTTTTTTTTTTACAATTTAAGCTACTTAAATCACTTTCTTCAAATCTGGTGTATGACCTTTCTATTAGGACCTTTTGTTTATTTCTTTATATGTGCTCATAGAAAGTAAAATTGATTTCTTTAATTTTTAAATGAAACTCTATAATATTTTCAGACGCATATAGATCACAGATACTTTCTTCTTAGATAAGGGAAAAGTATGTGGAAAAAGCTTTAACAATCATTTAGATTTACACCATCCATTTGCAATAATGAACTTGAACACTTGTACTAAACTAGCTGTATTCGGATTTTGCAATTTCTTTAAATAAAAGTCTCCGATTATGTCAATATTTCATATATTAAGAACAAAAAAAAAGAGTCCACTGAACATTATAAAACTTATAGTTATATTAAGTGCTACTATCATAGCTAGGATAGCATACTAAAATTAGCTGGTCTTTTTGATAGCTGGCCAATGCTAATATCAAGGTAATAAGAAGGATTGATATGTATTTTTTATCATTCTAAGCAAGTTCATTTTTTCTGACTATACTAATTAAATAAAAATTCTATTTAATACATATTAAATTTAATTTACAATAATTTATTATCTTCAACATTTTATTGTTGACATTTATTGTCTAACTTACCCCTTAGCCACGCCACTGTTAAGGTTTTATAAGGTTGATAGATAATTTATAAAATAGAATGGAGGATAAATTTCATACTCATAAATTCTCGTAAATCCAATATAGACCTGTGAAGGACATTAAGAAGTAAATCAACATGCTTTAATTGTAAGAATTGTAAAAATTGTAAAATTTTTACCATTGACCTATAAATATTCTAATAAACTCTCTGAAAATTATAAATAATATTTTTGAAGCATAATTTAAAATCAATAACTTAAAGCAAAATAGAAAAAAATTAATAATACATTGATTAAGTGATAAGAATGTTAAGATTTAGACTTAAAATCACAACAACAGCCACTTGAAGCACGCAACTATCGAACTTGGTGTAAAGACTTATCTTTTTAGAGGCACACGTAATTTCCATAAAAAAGTATTTATGTACGTATATTATTTATTATAAGACCCAAAAATATTATCTTAAAAACAAAATTTAGTATAAAAAGTCTTACAGTTCTAGACAAAATTATCAGTGTGTTTTGCATTGCTAAAGCAACATGTTGAAGTTTGTGATTCTTTTGTCAGTAATTGCTTGCGCTCTAGGAGCTGCCGTTCCAGAGGGCTTGCTGCCACAGTTAGATGGACGTATTGTTGGTGGTAGCGCGACTACCATCAGTTCTTTTCCATGGCAAATCTCATTACAACGTAGTGGATCTCACTCATGCGGTGGTTCAATTTATAGCAGTAACATTATTGTCACTGCTGCTCACTGTTTGCAAAGTGTTTCTGCCTCCGTATTGCAAGTTAGAGCTGGTTCCACATACTGGAATAGTGGTGGTGTTGTCAGTAAAGTAGCTGCTTTTAAGAATCACGAAGGTTATAATGCAAACACTATGGTTAATGATATTGCCGTAATTCGTCTGAGCTCTTCATTATCATTGAGCAGTACTATTAAGACAATTGGATTGGCCACTACCGCTCCAGCAAATGGCGCCTCTGCTGTTGTTTCCGGTTGGGGTACACTTTCGTCCGGATCTTCAAGCATTCCAACAACCTTGCAATACGTTAATGTGAACATTGTTAGTCAATCTGCCTGTGCTTCTTCGACTTATGGTTATGGTTCATCTATAAAATCAACTATGATCTGTGCTTATACTGTTGGTAAAGATGCTTGCCAAGGAGATTCTGGTGGTCCATTGGTATCTGGTGGTAATTTGGTTGGTGTGGTTTCTTGGGGCTATGGATGTGCATACACAAATTATCCAGGTGTTTATGCTGATGTTGCTGTCCTCCGTACATGGGTCGTTAATACTGCTAAAACTGTTTAATATTTTTTAAAGTTAAAAAAATAAAAGAACATTTTAGAAATTAATCAACTAAATTTTTTTTGGTAATACAATACAATTTATATGTTCACATATAGATCCGAAATAAATTTCGCAATGCATCATAAGATATTTAGAAACTAATGAAGTGCCCATTAAAACTTCTTTATGTATTATATAAAAAGTTTTAATGGAAAATAATGATTAAAAACGATTAATTATCCAAATAGAACCTATTTTTTTGGCAATCTTCTGCTATCAGATAGAACCATTAATCCTTTGTTGTAGATTTTTGGTTAATGTTAAAAAAATCCAACCCCGCATGATCTGTGCTGCAGCTACTGGTAAAGATTCTTGCTAAGGTGATTCTGGCAATCCATTAGTATATAATAATGTTTTAGTAGGTGTAATATCTTGGGGCTATGGATATGGATATGCAAATAATCCAGGTGTTCACGCTGGCGTTGCAGCTTAACGTGGTTAGGTTATTGCTAATGTTTAAACATTTCTATGATGCTACAATTACATACTACAAGGAACAAGGAATAAGGAACTCTTAACATTGTTTTAATTAATTAGTTTTAAGTTATTGTGAAAGTAAAATATTAACATTCATTCTTTGAATACAAAGGGTTAGTTAATATATATTCATATATAAAAATCTGGATGTCATTGAACAAAATGAATATATAGATTATTTTGAATAGAGTAAGCGCTATTACTTTACTTTTATTTTATAGAAAACTAATGACGATTATAATAAATAACTTTAAGATAAAGAAGAATGAATATTAATAAATCAAGGGACATAATGGTTTTGCAATTATGCTTATGCATTGGACATGGGTGGAGAACACATGCTTGTTTTTAATTTCGGATTATAGTAAGAAGTATACACATGAACGATGAATATTGCACAGTGAAATGAAGGACTATTAAGAGGAAATTTCTTATTTTTTAGATATCATAGAACACATAAAACGTCTTTTTGATTGATTTTTTGATCACAGAGCATAATGACTTTTATGACACAGGTATGGCTTTTAGTTCCATACTAAGAATTTCCTTTTACCGATTCAATCCACTCAAAACACTTACCACGAAGGGGCAGTTTGAGTTTCGGGAACAGAAACGTTTGCTACATACCATGGAGCGTTTAACTTATTTCGTGGAATTTTACTACGAAGTGGTTGCCGTAGGTCCAAACTAGTTTTAACAGATTTATAAATAAAAGTAGCTTATTTTCTAAGGATGCGGAAAGCATTACGTTCAGTAACCAAAACATGCCACGGAATTTAATTCCAAGGGGGTTTCTTTTAAAATCCCTTGAGTGTTTTCTATATGTTTTCCCTGTAAGATATCTATCCAAGAGCGTGGGTAGGTATTTTGCTGTGTTTCATAGCGGAATAAGTACATATATTGTTTAGTTTTAGAATAGGTGTCTCTTCTTATGGTGAATTTAAGTTAATAGATTTACATTCATTACCTTTTTTATGTGTCAATGTTTCAACCAATTTGATATTTAATCAAGACTCAAAGTGTAGCAGAGTGTAGTTGTATTTGCCAGGATTTATCTATCGTCTGCAGAATATGATGTGTATAAAATGGCACCTTACATAAATCTAACTTTTTTACCAAGAATATAATTAGTTTTCCTTTCAGCAAAACGGTAAAGACCCAAACACTTACAACTGTCAGTTACAACATATTTAATGGTTGATATATATTTAAATCTTATCAGACACACAATTTCTGATCACGAAATTTGTCTCCTTTCTCTAGGTGGAGTGTGATTGACGATGGAATAAAAGGGTCGATAATTGTCACACGTAAGGCTTAACTGGATCTTGGGGAGTAGTAGCGTTTTTGTTTTGATGATGAACCGAACCACAAAGGCTCGCCTCCCTTATTGTGTCGGTATCAAATCATGGCCTATTAGCAATGTTGATCAGGTGCGTCATGGTACAATGTCCCGAATCATATCATGTATGATGGTGATGGCATCTTCATGGTGATGTTATCGATATACGCAAACACAAAGTCGAGATTGTTGCTGTTACTGCTGTTATTATTATTCCTGCTAAAGTTACATTCATTGTTCTTGTTGTTGCTATTGCTGCCATTGCATTTGAAGAGTATAAGCACCACAGGTATACAATATCATGTAGAATATATAATATTGGTGTATGTTAAAAAATATATATGCTCGGACAATTTCAGCACATTAATTTAAAAGATGATTTAATCAGTGTAATTTATTACCATAGGTTGGAAGGAAGTCCAGTCTACATTTTGAAAAGCTGCTAATAATTATAGTACTATATCACAATTTACTATCTTACTGTTCTATTTGTGGAAGATTTTATGAATGTGTTTTTTGTTTCTAATATCTTGAAAATAAAATAATTTAGTCAAATTGTCTGATTGCAAAATATTTTTATGCAAAATTGATAATGAAAAAATTTTAATCGCATTTAATAGAAAAGTTAGAGTTATTGCACGTAAGTGCCTGATCGAATCTTATCTAAAAATATTTTTGAATATGATCAAAACAAATTGTCCGTTTGAAATTGTCAGTTTTTCATATCGAATATATAAATATTCCATACAATATAAATATTTATATTTAAATAAGTCCAAATATTTAACTGAAGTATGCTTAAAATATACTTATTGAGAATTAATTGACATATGTTTTAATGTCAGAACTACATATTTGTATCGTAGTTATACATATAACATATATATGTATATGTTTTATATCAAAGACATTTTTTGCATCAATAATTAATTTTGGTATAAATATTCCAAATAAAGTTTATTTGACATAAATTGGAATATCCTTGAATCTGAGTAATTGGTTTATATAGAAAATATATTCATAGAAATCACATACAAATTTAAATGACAGGAAAAGCAGAAGATAAATAGACAGGATCAGTAGTTTCTTTTAGCCAATTAACTTGAAATCACATATATATGGGATTTGTTCCTAGACTCCTTCTTGAATACATTATGTTCTCACTAATCTTTAATTTTTATTAGTACATTCGGTTAATAATAGTTTTATAGAGCATACATATTTCGTGTAGTTGTTCTCAGAATTGAACAAATGTGCACCAAATGCAAAATATTGCACTTACATAAAAGAAATTTTAAAATCCAAAACAACTTCAGGCAACAAATAAGGATTAGTATCTATACTCGAACATACAACTTCAAATATGGTAACAAAAGAAACCATAGGTGTGTAAGAGTATGTGAACTAAACGCTTACCGGTTTAACACACTCAAAAAATGCTTTCTAGCAAAACGTAGAAAAAATGATTAGAAAGAAACTTTCTTTCCATTCTTAAAGATTGAAAAAACTAGTCCAGCACTATACATTCCGCACCTAGTGTGATTTGTGTCTGTTCCCTGAAGTAAGACGAATTAAAGGAAGTGTTTTCGGCAAAAATGAGTGAGTAATTAGTGCAATTAATCTTGAAGTTACATACCTAAAAAATCCGATTTTCTGAAATTATATTTCCCGAAAATATATATAGAATTAAACTTATTTTAAAAAAATAAAAATAAAATTATTGTTAAAAAATTAAAACTAGTTTTTCAACTTATTTTTGTAGCCAATTAAGCGAACTTTTGTTAGTCCCCCCGTGTCAGACAGTTCTTAACTATCTAATTAGTAGAGTAGACTATTAATATAAACAAAAAAAATACGGAATAACTTTTTTAAAAATTTCACCGTTTAATATTTAATTTTTATTTGCAAATCCCACAAAAGTTTTATATGATATCGTTGCATAGTTTTAGGTGCATATGTACTTCATTTATAAAAATGTAATTTAATGTCCTTAAATTGCCAGCAAATGATCACATATAATTTATTGGATAAGAGTGAATCTTGTATGTACTAATCCAGTTTTACTGATTACTCTTAATATGGGTACAAGTTAATAATAATTTCTGAACAAAACATTTTTTTACTATCTAATTTGGTATGATTCCCAAAATACATTTGGAATTACGATTGGCTTATTAACATGTTAAAATATATTGTAGTTTTAAACTAGTAATGCTTCTTCTTTGCCATTAAGCTATGAAGAATATGAATATTGGTTAGTTTAGTAAACAGGAAACATCACTGATTAAAACTTCCGACCTAATAGTATGTTTCCACTGGCTTCATTAGACCAGTTAACTTCATTGATATTAGATTATTAGCGTTAAGATTATTTCTTATCGGTTCGTACATTGTATGGGATTGGGTGTACGAATGCCAAAAAAGCAGACAAATGTGCGAAGTATATGATAAAGAAATTTACAAAATCAGATACAGGAAATAGATGTCAATCTACTTCCTCTACACTTTACATTTTAAAGTTTATTATTTCAAAATCGTAATATTATTGCTATTAACATATGACTTTGTTAAATATTTTACAGTGGTTCTATACAGAAATCTGCAGTTTTCCGATATTCTGTATTTGCTTCTAAAACTATTATTTTTTTTATAAATTTATACAATACTAATTAAACTTTCTACAACTATTAAGACTTTGTCAGAACTGCTGATAATATTGATTAATAACATCAAAGATGCTATACGCGGCGAATTAAAAAAGTTAAGTTTTGACATTTTAACGATTATTTAAGCATGCTATTTGACAATCGAGACCCTAATTGAACTAATTGGACTAATTAAAGACTATCAAAAAATGTGAAATGTAATTACGGTTCTAGCTTTAAACCATTATAGTTCGGTATAGTTCAAAAAGTCCTAAAAGGAGAAAGCATATTTGATATATTGAGAATATACATATACTATACATATTCTGTAACTCCAACTTCTATAACTCAAATTTTCTATAACTCAAACTAAAAATATTGTCAATAAGTCGGATTTTTGTTTTAAGTATAAATTCATTTTGGTGTTAAAGGAAGTCCCTTTTTCCAAACCAAATATTTAATTTTTTCTTTTTTATGTTACTCCTTTGTGCAAATATCAGTCGCTGGCCAATTTTCAACATGAGACGAACTAGACTACATT